CATGGAGCTAGAAGTACCTAAATGTCAGTGTGAATATAATTTTTCTGATTGTAAAGTTAAGTACCAGCATTTTCATGTGTTTAGCCATATGTTGCGTATTTTGTAATGCATATCTTTGGGCACAATTATGTAGAAGCTGTGGCCCCTGGGTGAATCAAATACATTATTTTACGATGTATGGCCATATGCCCTAATCCCATGGTCCTGTGAAAGTGCCCTTTTAACATTAAGAAAATTTTGTTAAACAAAAAAATTTAGGTTTTCAGGTTCGCTTTAGGCAGATCTTTGTAAATGTCTTTGTTCTTTATTGACCCCTTTTTGCAGTTAACAAAGATTAACATTTTAATGGCACAGGCAGTTCTTGTTGCATATTTGCTGTGGTTTCCTAGACCCCTGATGGTCAACCGGTGGCCCTTTGGTTTACCATTTGCGGTCCTTGAAACTCAGCAGTCTGTAGTGGGAACATTGATTAGGGTACTAGAATTGTTTCCAGTTTTGTTTAGTCTTCTGCTTCATATCCCAAGCCAAACGTGTTGCATGTCCACACTTTGATTCTCCATTCCTTCTTCTTTTTTTTTTTTTTTTTTTTTTGTCTGCAGTTTCTGACAGTCCTCAAGCATTACATATATTGAACAGTGGCAGGGGTGTTGTTGGTCAATGTCATTCTCTCTCCATGGGTGGAGGAAGGGGGAGTTGTCGGTTGTGCCTAGGGCAGCACAAAACCTAAATACACCACTGGCGATCACTACATGTCGAGTCAACCGACTAAGCTGCAGTTGCACCATGTAAATGCCCTCCTTCGCTGCCTGTTGCAGCTTAAGGGGCTCATCCGCACATTTTTACCACCCATCTCCCATCCACAATTCTAAATGAGGCCTTGCTGTACAATTGTGTTTTGGGCTTGTTTTCTCAGAGAACAGGTGCAGGAACTCCACCACAACCCCCCCCCCACCATAACCACCCTTCCCCCAACACATACCTTCCAAACTGCATCAAATAGTGGCTTTGGCCAAATTTCACTAACAGTGGGAGGGTCATAAAGGGGCATTAAATACCAGGAGTGCATTACGTACAGAGTGCGGAGTTGAGAGGGATTACACAGAGTACAGTGTTCAGGGGTGCACTATGTACAGAGTTCAGCCCTCTTCCACAGCTGTCACTTGTAAGGACAGAAGCCGGACTTCTGTGTATACAAGTGACGGTGGTGAGCATGGAGTTGAAGGCCTGAGCCATAGATGGTGGAACGGAGTTCCAGCTGAAAAAAGCCTTGACTGCTCATTTGCAGTTTAGCAGCCAAAAAAGCTCTGAAAAGAGTATGAGAAGCAGAATGACTTCTAATTGTAACTCCTGCATTTGCTCTCATACAATTTGTATTGTACATTTAGCAGTCTGAAAGCTTAATGCTGGTGCAGAACATCTGTCAGTTATGGTGTTGAAAAAATCTGAATAAAACGAACACTCTCATACTACCCAGCTTTAATCGGGGGGGCATGAAATAGACCTGGTTCCATTTCCTGCATGTCATGTAAAAGGGTTTATTGCCAACTGTGAGGGTATGCTGGAGCATCTGGTTCCTCATCAACTGGAGAACTCCTGGTTGTCTATAAGTAAATCAGAATGAGACATGCACACTGTTCTAGAACACTTGTGTGTTTAGGTAGAGCTACGTATGTAATAGAGCGCACATGCTGTCTGTGCTGTAAATTCCTGACTCCTCTACTGCAGATGAATACTGCTAAGTTTAGAATCTCTTCCGCTGGTGTCCTGAAATGAATGATAGCATAGTATATCTGAGCCATATATGGATTTCACAATGACTAAATGACCTATAGAGGAGGCGTAACATCGGAAATCACATTGTAGAAGGTGAAATATTAAATGTCAGTGGATATAAAGTTACTGTGTGTTCTTCCTTCTCTTTTTTTTTTTTTTTCCTTTTTTTTTACACTGTATTTTAAAGTGCTACTAAATGTATACATTTTATGTGTGATAAGTAAGCAGGGTGCACAGAGTTAAAATAGAATTTGCTTTTTAGACCGTTGTTACCATGTAGAATCTGATTTGAAAGTGATCCTGTAGGTAGGAGGAAGAGAGCACCGCTCACACCTCCTCCCTCCTGGTTCTCTCCTCCTCCCCGCTGCTGCCCGCGTCCTGCCAACCAATGACGTCAGCAGTTGCTAAGGACAGGTCGGGTGGCCCCAACAGCTTTGTTTTGCCGGCATGAGTACACTGAGGCACTGGTGCAGTTGATCGGCTGGGCAGAATGTATGGAGTGTGTAGAGGAGTGATCGACAGGAGAGATGAGCAAGTTATCCAGAATGAGATGCCACACATTGAAGAAAAGCAGAGAGTGATGGCATTCAACACTTTACTGCATGGGTGTCAAACTGGTGGCCCTCCAGCTGCTGCCAAACTACAACTCCCATGAGGCATTGCAAGATTGTCTTTGGGAGTCATGCTTGTAACTGTCAGAGGCATGATGGGACTTGTAGTTTGGCAACAGCTGAAGGGCCACCAGTTTGACACCTCTGCTTTACTGCCTCACATAACAGGGAGAAGGGGAGAGTCGGGGAGGAGCGGGCGGTGCTCCCTTGCTCCTGTCTGTACACAGGAGTCGCAGGATCATCCTCAGATCAGATAGGGCAGGGCTTGATGACTTTCACAGCAAAACTTGTGAGAAGTAATCAAACCCTGTTGTGGAATAAGAGGTTTTGTGATAAGGGGGATTTGGAGGGGGCACAGAATTTTGTGCTAGGAGGGAAGGTTTAGGGGGGGATTTACAACCTACACATCACTTTGCTGTGCTTTGCAATCTACGCTGCTCAAAATAATTAAAGTAATACTTTTTAATCAGAGTATGGCATCAAGTCAAACTCCTGGGATATTGATCTGGTCAGTTAAGTAGCAGAGGGGGTTGTTAATCAGTTTCAGCTGCTTTGGTGTTAATGAAATTAACAGGTGCACTAGATGGCCAACTATGAGATGACCCCCAAAACCAGAATGGTTTTACAGGTGGAGGCCACTAACATTTTTTTCCCTATTCATCTTTTCTGACTTTTTTCACAAATTTAGCATTTGGCTGAGTTCAATGTCACTACTGGTAGCATGAGGTGATACCCGGGCCCTACATAGGTTGCACAGGCAATCCAACTCTTCCAGGATGGCACATCAATACGTGCCATTGTCCCTTTTTAATTTCATTACATCTTTACTTTAGTGATGCACAGATTTATTGGCCGCTGAAAATTACTGGGCGAAAATGGGGTTACTGGCATTTTGCCGATAGAAAAAAAATAAAAGGTGCTGCTAATCGACTTCACTACAAAATTGCATCCCGTTGTCTTCAATGCAAAATGGCTTACCGTTGACTTCAGGGCAAGATGGGCTTCCTATTGAATTAAATGTAAAAATGCCTCTAAGTTTTTTTTTTTTTTTTTTTTTCATTTCATAGTTTTCATTTTATTCTCTGTCCAATGTTTGTTACTTTCAGTAAGTTATTTTCCATTACTGGATTGTATCTTTTTAAATTCACGATAGTCCGACTAATACAGTTTTTTTTTTTTTTTTTTTTTTTTTTTTTTTTTTCTTCTTTTATATATATATATATTAAAAAAAAAAAAAAACTGTCCCCTTTTTTTGGTTTTCAGCCAAGTGCCTCCTGAATTTTCGGTTTCAGTGCAAAATGTTTTTTTTCAGTGCAGCTCTAATTATTACATTGAAATTCAGCAAGTTACTGCCAGTTCATAGGTAACGAGACTAGAGGTAATTTTAGACCTACTCTGACTTTGTATTCAGGGACAGGGCAGAGCTATTAGAGTGGAATTATATATAATCATTGTTATATTGTGCACTAATTTTCATTGGTTGTTAGGACCCAGGCCTCCAGTGTCCTGCAACCAGTTACTAGTTCTCCACCAAGTCTGTCTTCCTTGTGATTGACAGCAGATGACAGTGGGCAGATTCCATAGCTGCTAGACAGCCCAATGATGGGGAACATTGAGTTTCTAATAGTGGTGCACCAAAATGAAAATTCAGAATGCTTGAGTCCGAAAACCAAACAAAAATGTCTATGTATGTGGGGGTGGGGAGGCTCCAATATTTATTTTTAACTTATGATTTTATCCCTTTCACATAAGGGATCAATAGTCCCAAAACATTGGATTCTGGTATGTGACATGCTCAACAAATGTCAGGAAAGGTAGTTTTATTAAAAGAAGCTCTTGGTGTGCTGGCAATATATTTTTCTTCTGTCTGCTGTGGTGCCATGGACCTGCTTTTCCAGAACCCCCCATAAGGGGACTGCTGTGTAATGACATAGGCCTAGTGGACAGAAGCAGTAAGCCAACATTACGGAGGTTGGATTGTTTGGTAGGGATACTGTGTCCACACTATGCTTCCTGCAACTAATTCATGTACCTGTTTAATGTACCTTTTTGGTCACAAGCATTGCAAGATCAGTAGAGAATTTATAAGATGTTGGTGGCCTAAGTGCTTTCTCCTCGGATGTATGTTTTTTTTTGTTTTGTGTTTGTTTTTTTTTTAAGGTGTAATGTGGCTCTTCACATGAGGGTGCGGTTATTCACGAACAGCTTATATAAATGATGCTTTTGTTTGACTGATCATGTGAAGTTCCTGGGTCATCTTCCTCTTCTCCCTATGGTGGCAGTGGGTAGCCTTCAATAAGACAGAGTGGAGCTGACATCGTCCTATCTCTGCAGGATTGTACTCAGTGCCCAGGCCTCGTCCCAGGGTTTTTTTCATGCTGACCTGGACTTGCAAGTAGTCGATTGAAACTGGCACGGCAGCAACCCAAAAGAGGACTGGCAGCCAATGGCACAGTAGACCCCACTGGAAAGAAGCATATTGCAATGAAAACTGTTTTTGTTTTTTTTCAAAAGCTGTGGCAATTTATTTTTAAAATCAGAACGTGAGATCTGCTTTAATTTATACACCGGTATCTGTAATGGTTTTAGAAATTAAAATTTCTCCTTTGTTTGCAGGTGCTGATGTGCCCAGAACATGAGTCAGAAAAGGTGAACATGTACTGTGAGATCTGCAGGAGGCCAGTGTGTCACTTGTGTAAACTTGCTGGAGCACATGCTAACCACAGAGTGACCACAATGAGTAATGCCTACAAAACACTGAAGGTGAGCTTGTCTGCCTCTGCTAGTAAATGAGATTGGGGTGAATTGTCATGTTGTGCTAAACAATGTAAATACAACCACTCAATTGTTATGAAAACAGTTTTTTTCTTTTCATGTTTTTGCATTGTCAGTATGAATGTGGCAAGTACAAAGCCAACTCTATTTAAAGTTCTTAGTTGTCCCTCCTGCTTTTTATTTATTTTTTCTCTAAGTGCTGTTTGTTGGGATATACCTTTGAGTAATGATACTGTAAATGGGATTCCCCCCTGTTGGCAAATTTCCCTGAGGTTATGTAGCTGGTTGGGTCTCTCATGACAAACACCAATTTAATAGATGGTCAGTTTAAAACTTCTGTAGGAGTTGCATTGGTAGCTCTTATCACTCATACCTGATCAGTTGCAACAAAGAAATGCCCATCTGTGTTCAGCTTTTTTTTGTTCTAACATATATAGGTAGTCATTTCTTTTATCTTACATTATTGTAGCTTTCAAAAGTGTTCTGTTTGAGATGAATTATACATTTTCTGGTCTTTAGATTCAGCCTTATGTTAAAACAGCACTGTCTCTGTTAAAAAGAACTGAATTGCCCAGTCTATATCATTAGTCATTCCACTGCCTTCTCTGCCAAAATCCTCTGATCTTTCAGAGATAAATTTGCTGAAAGTCTTCTGTTTCTCATACATTTGGCAGTGTTGAAAATCTATCTGCATCCATGAAGCTGAGGCATCATTGTCCAGCTTCTACGTAACTGCAAGACACCATAGTTATGTACTTTAGGAATGACAGAAGGAACCACAGAGCGCAGTAGAAGAATTTTCGGCAAATATACCTTTTTAGGACACCAACCTGCGTTCTAAAATGGGTGTGGGCAGTGTATGTACCATAGCTGGTGTACAGTGCAGTGACTGGCATGAACATGAGGTTAGGTGCAGTGTTTTGCAAATAAATGCAGCATATCAGCATTTTTACACAACGCATTGCAACCAATCTCAAGGCAGCTTTGTGGTGTGAACAGGGCACATAGAAAACCGTTCTCTGCAGAGCAATGTAGCTCCACTTCAGCTGTGTGAATGAGCTCTAAATGCAGCGGACTTAGTTGGCATGGCAGCAGGATTAGTAAGCATTAGGGCCAATTCGTACTGCCTTGAGCTAAAATGCATGTACATTTCCATCCATTTTAGTCATGTTTTTAATGCATGCTCACGTCTGTTTACATACATTTTGCATTTTAGTGCAGTGCTATGGTATGAATAGGACACATTGGAAATTCTTTTTTAGATGTCCTTCCCTTGATCTACTACAAAACGCACTGGTGTGGATTGGCCCTCAATGCTTTTCTTTGCAGGTTGGGTATTTTTTTTTTCTAAATACAGACAGAGCAGCTTTGGAAGTGTATATGTAAATGTCAATACCAGTTGACTGGTCTAGATTTTTTGCAAGCGGAAAATGGAGAGGTCTTTGTCCATTTTATTCCTTAAGATGGAGGTAACACAGAGCAGCAGCTGTGGTGACCAATAGATTTGTCTCATGCTGGTCTGACTTCAGTTTAAGTAAACCTCTTATGAGAGAAGTTACGGAGCTCCTCTTGGAAATATTGGTTGCTTGGCTGGTTTGCATATCTATTTGCGTTAGTCACTGACCTACATCAGGAGTTCTGGTGAAATGTCAAAAGTTCTCATCTGTAGAAGTGTTTCAGGTAAGTGATTCAGATCATTGAAGGAAGCCGATTTTACCATGACTGCCACAGAGCTATTTTTTTTTTTTTTTTAAATTTCTTTCATAGAAGAGCTCAGCTTCTGTATTTCTATCATGACAGGTTTACTTTCGTTTTAATAGGTTTGCTATGCATTAATACCAGAATTTACCTTACTCCTTTGTGCTGATTATAAAATGGGATTAAATGCAGGAGGTTATTACAATCCAATATATTAGGCCTGTGGCTTTGGGCTAGTGCCTAAGGCATCCGTTTTTAACAGTCTCAAAATTTTCTTAATTGTTGCATTTGACCTGCATCAAGCAAGTTTTGCATTTCCATGGACATGAATGGGAAAATGGGTTGATACATTGAGGCACATGCCCTTAGGCTTTCTCTATAAATTGTAGTGTTGTTCAAGAGGTGCAATCTGAAACTAATACACAACAATGTTGGCTCCACAAGGCTTGATTTTATTTTCTAAATGGTTCTAGAAAAAAGTAGGATGTGGTTTTGAGCTGTGGCTAGCATCACTTATAGTGCTTTTATCATGCTCTAAAAACCAGAAAAGTTATATCGGCGGGGTCCCTAGCAACCATTTGTGACTCTGTTTTGGAAATACTGTTGCACTTTTTTTAATAGAAAAGAAATTCTATGGCAGGTGACTGACATCTAAAGTGACAAGTGATAAATCAAAGCGTTGAAGATGAGCGCAATAAAGTGACAATATTGCTTTGTCTTATGTTAGACGATTTGCAGTAAGGTAAACGCACATTATAAATGTATGGCAGACCATAAAATCACTTTTTTTCTTATAGATGCCTAAATCATTCAGTGTCTGGGGATAATGGTCGCTTCTCACTGGAATACATTAATAAGGTGCTCGTGACTTCTGTGGATAAGGAAAGAGGTGTGCTTGTACTCACCAGACGCACAATATAATTGCGCATGTATGACACTCAGAAGGGCACTAGTGGTCATCCAGGAACTGGTAGGAATGAGGCACTTCTCAGGCACTTAGTACACCCTGGAAACAGACTCCAGACCTCTCAGTGGGACCCTCACAGCAAACTGGGATGGCTCCTTGGTTTCACTTACACCCGGCTTCCAATCAGGTCAGCACCAATGGATATCCACCATTAAGCAGCTCCAGCTGAGGCACCTGCTGTGTCTCCCTCCAGACGAGACACAAGGACCAAACCAAGGAGCTGTCCCAGTTTGCTCTAAGGGTCCCACTGAGAGCTCTGGAGTCCGTTTCCAGGGTGTACTAAGTGCCTGAGAAGTGCCTCATTCCTACCGGTTCCTGGATGACCACTAGTGCCCTTCTGAGTGTCATATACATGCGCAATTATATTGTGCGTCTGGTGAGTGCAAGCACACCTTTCCTTAATCCACAGAAGTCACGAGCACCTTATTAATGTAATTCCAGTGAGAAGCGACCATTATCCCCAGACACTGGATGATTTAGGCACCTATAAGAAAAAGTGATTTTATGGACTGCTATACATTTATAATGTGCATTTACCTTACTGCAAATCTTCTAATATAAGAACGCACTATTGTCACTTTATTGCGCTCATCTTCGGCGCATGATTTATCATTTATCACTTGTCACTTTGCATTTCATTTTTGTGTAAGATTTATGGATATTTGTTTGTTTTTTTTTTAGCACTGCATTTTTGATCTAAATTCTTTAAAGGATTTATTATTTTTTTTCCTTATGCAAGCTGCTTTTATTTCTATTTTAAGAAGCTCTCGCTTGTTTTAGGTGACTGGCATCTAGTGTCTGGGCCATTTTAGGTTGGTCATTTATTGTAAACTGTCGACCCCCTGGGTGTTTGTTGCATTCATCAGGATGATATTCTTGCCAAATCCAGCTGTTTTCAAATGTTGTCTACCCAAAAATCCAGTTACTGTCCTTAAGACATTAGGAGGGCTGGACTGTGGCCAGTAGGAGTAGAAAATGCCTCATCTTTAGTATTATGGGAGAAATTGTGCCCCGTTGTCGGTGGAAGGAATAGTGCCCAGTTGTTGGTGTTAGTGGGAAGAATAGTGTCCGATCGTTGGCGCTGGTGGAAGGAATGGGGCCCCGGTGTTGGAGGAATTGTGTCCTTTCTTTGATGTCAGTTGGAGGAATAGTGTCCCATCGTTGGTATCTGTCTGGAAGGAAAAGTTTCCCATCGTTGGTGTCAGTGGGAGAAATAGAGCTCCAGGGGCCAGATAAAGGCAAGCAAAGGGCCGCATCTGGCCCCCGTGCCACAGTTTGCAGACCACTGACCTAGACTGATGAGTAACATTTTGTTTAAAAAAAAAAAAAATCTAGAAAAAGATAAAATGCTTGTTAATGTTTCTTGCGTTTTTTTGTTTGCCTTTCAAAAACATCAAAACCATCCATTAAGAACCAGTGTACCTTTTTAATCTTGTGTTCGCTTTGTTTTGCTGTTTGAGGCCTTCATTTATTTTCATCTATTTGTATTTGTAGGAAAAACTTACAAAAGGCATCAGCTATCTTATCAGCAAAGAAAGCCAAGTTAAGACCCAAATTTCTGAACTTCAAATCTTGATAAAGCGCACAGAGGTAAGTGGGTAGCTTGAAAATATCAATCATTGTTTTGACTCTTTGACTGCTAAGGATATAACCCATATGCTGTGGCTGATCCTCTTGGGATCTCCTGGGGTGTATTCAATACACCATGGCAGGCAAAGGGTTAAACAGTCTACAGCTCTAAATTTTAAGAACTGCAACCATTTTTTATAATCCCTCCATTTTCAGGGGATCAAATTAATATAATCATAAAATGTTCTTTTTAGTACTTTGTTGAGAATCCTTTACTGGCAATGACTACCTGAAGTCTGGAACCCATGGACATTAACAAAGACTGGGTTTCCTTCTTTCTGTAGCTTTGCCAGGCTCTAACTGCAGCTGTCTTCAGTTATTTGTGGGTCTTTCTGCCTTTTTAGTTTTGCCTTCAGCAAGTGAAATGCATGCTCAATTGGGTTGAGATCAGGTGATTGACTTGGCCGTTGCAGAATATTCCACTTTTCCTTAAAAAGCTCCTGGGTTGCTTTTGCAGTATGTTTTTGGATCATTGTCCATCTGTATTGTGAAGCGCCGTCCACTCAAGTTTGCTGCTGAATCTGGGCTGACAGTATATCTCTAAACACTACAGAATTCATCCGGCTGCTTCTGTCTTCTGTCACATCATCAATAAACACCAATGAACCAGTGCCATTGGAAGCCATGCATGCCCATGCCATCACACTGCCTCCACCATGTTTTAAAGATAACGTTGGGTGCTTTGTATCATGAGCTGTTCCGAGCCTTCACACTTTTTTTTACTTCCCCCCCCCCCCCCCCCCCCCCCCCGTCATTCCGGTACAGCTTAATCCTTAGTTTCATCCATCCAAGGAATGCTTTTCCAGAACTGGTCTGGTCTTTTTTAGATGTTTTTTTTGGCAAAGTCTAATCTGGCTTTTCTATTCTTCAGGTTTATGAATGGTTTTCACCTTGTGGTGAACCCTCTGTATTTGCTCTCGTCAAGTCTTCTCTTGATTGTAGACTTTAACAATGATACGCCCACCTCCTGGAGAGTGTCCTTCCCTTGTCTGGATGTTTTGAATGGATTTTTTCTTCTCCATAGAGAGGATCCTGTGATCGTTCACTGTTGTTTTCCGTGGACGTCCATGCCTTTTTATGTTGCTGAGCTCACCAGCGCTTTCTTCTTTCCTCTGAATGTACCAAACTGATTTGGCCACTCCTAATGTTGCTGCTATCTTTCTGATGGATTTGTTTAGTTTTTGAAGCCTTACAATGGCCTGTTTCACTTTCATGGACAGCTCCTTTTGATCGCATGATGTAGGTTCACAGCAATAGATTCCAAATGCAAATACCACACTTCAGACCTTTTTCCCTGCTTAATTGATGAAGAAATAAGAGTAGCCCCCACCTGGCCGTGAAGCTGCTTTTGATTCAATTGTCCAATTACTTTTGGTCCCTTGAAAAAGGGGGGGAAGGCTACTCTTAAGAGCTGCAATACCTAAACCCTTCCTCCCAATTTGGATGTACATACCCTCAAATTAAACCTGGAAGTGTGCACTTTCAGCCCATATCCATTATATAGCGATAGCTTGAATATGTTTTGGTAAATGCCTGAGAAACTAAAATTGTGCCTGTCCAAATATATATGGACCTAACTGTATGTGTAGTCTTTTTGCTGAATTAAAAGAACGGTATGTATTAAAGTGAAACTCTGTGCCCTCCTAACTACTTTCTACATAAAGCCCCCCCTGCTCTCTCCTCCTGTCCCCATTTTGTCTCTCCAGGATGTAAACAAACAAGATTAGTTAGCATGGGTTTTATGTTAATCCGTCGCCCCCCCTTTTTTTTTTTTTTTTTTTTTTTTTTGTCTGAATTGATCTGTAGTGCTCGGTCTTGAGGACTTCAGGTTCGTAATCTGGATTCTGTTTAGATCAAACTAAACAGTAGAAATATATTGATTGAAATTAGAACTTTTTTTGTTTTAAATAAATAAAAATAAATAAATATATATATATATATATATATATATATATATATATATATATATATATATATATATATATATATATATATATATATATTTTTTTTTTTTTTTTTTTTTTTTTTTTTTACAGGACAATGGAGAACACGCTATAGAGGAAGCAACATACAACTTTGAAAAGCTATATAATATTTTAGAAGAGCGGAAAACATTTGTGCTGAAATCTATCCAGGATTCCCAGTCTGCTCGACTAGAAAAGTTGCAGAACCAAATGGAAGAATACCAGGGTCTACTGGAGAATAATGGGCTTGTGGGCTACGCACAAGAAGTCTTAAAAGAAACGGATCACTCTTGTTTTGTTCAGACTGCAAAACAGCTGTACACCAGGTACCTGCACTGACCTTTTTGATAGAACAACCACTTGCCCTCTGGAGGATTTACCCTCCATGACCCAGCCATTTTATTTAATATACAGTGCTCTGCTACTTTAACTGACAACTGGGCGGTCATTCAACACTGTACACAAATGAAATGTATATAGTTTTTATTCACACAAATAGAGCTTTCTATTGGTGGTATTTGATCACCACTGGGTTATTTTTTGCTCTATAAACAAAAAAGACCAACCTTATTGTTTTTTAAAAAAAAAAAAAATTTTACTTTTTGCAATAAAACCTATCCAATAAAAAAACAAAAAAATACTTCATAAATTTAGGCTGAAACAAATTCTGCTATATTTTTAGAAAATAAAATCCCAAAAAGTGTATATTAAGTTGATTTGCATGAAAATTTGTGTCTACAAACAAAATTATAGATTAGATACTGGAATTTTTTTTTTTTTTTAAATATTAGCAATGGTGATGATCAAGGACTTTATAGTGGGACTGTGATAGTACAGCAGGCATTCTGACACTGGGTGGGAACTGACTGTTTCATCCCCACTGACACTAATAAAGTACTGGGCAGGAAGGGGTTAACATCTAGGGCGATCAAAGGGTTAACTGTGTTATGGTTGTGTACTGTTTTACTAGGTGGTGATCTGGTTTTTATTTCCTGCTTTTCAGGGGGGTAAACATCAGCACATCCCCACTGATATGAGAGAGATCTGTGGTGTTTACATTCATAGATCTCTCTCCTGTAAGTTGCTCCGTTTGCCAGGTCCCGGCCATGAATCTTTGTCTGGGACCCCGTGATTGACATGTTTAGGGAGCCAATGTCCGCGTGTGCCCCCTACCAGAAAGGCAGAATCGTATGTATGTCTGCACAGAGAGGCCACTCTGTAGCAGTAAAGCTACAATGGGCTGGTCACCAAGTAGATAAAGATGGGGGCGGAACCTGGCTATAGTCTGTGGGAGAATCATAAGAAGGGTCTGTGTTGATGGGCTTTTTTTCACTTCAAGCAGTTTTTGCATTCTCATACAGATGTATGTGAATGTAAAACCTTCTTGAAGCAAGTCAAGAGCTCACTTGCAGATCAGAAACACCAGTCAGTGATTTTTTTTTTTTTTTTTTTTTTAATGATTTTAGAAGCATTTTAAACTGATGCCAGCAACGTCAACCGAAAGCCCTGTTGACACAGGCCTTTAACGAAAACCTTTTTTTTATTAATATTTTGGATAGAGTAAGGGAGGGTTAAAACCCCTGACAATTTTTTTTTTTTTTTCTCTTGCCAAATGTTTCCTTATGGATATATTCCTTTACTTCCTGTCCCTGCCAAAGCAGGAAGTGAGAAGAAACCCCTGCAATGTGAGGGAATTTCTGCTTGTCCCCAGGGTTACCACAACCAGTGTTCCCTTTGGAAGATTCCCCTCTATGCTAGTTCAGGGGACAACCTGAAGTTTGGAATTTCTTTTCCTTTATCACTGAAAGCTAATTAGGACAAGGATCTCCCAACAGGGGACACGGACAACAATAAAATCCTGCCAGGTGTTTAAATCCCTCTTCATTCTATCCAAAACTTAAATTTTATTGATTTAAGAAGCCCCAAACACGGACTAATTTATTACTGGATACTACACTTTTCAGGAACTAATTTGCCAAAAAAAGATTCAGAACCTAAACTTCCATATGACCTTGCCCCATATATTTCTTCCTGTATGAATGTTGTCAGGACCTCTACAGACAGACATCCTCCAGCCCCATAATAGAAGGACCTAGAGCTGGAGATAATAGTGCAGAAGCCTGTGCATTGCACCTACAATGTACTGGTTGTAATTGCAGTTCTCTATCCTTAAATGCAAAAATCTTAACATTATGCCTTCAAGAAGGCAAGCCATATAGAACCAAATTTCTGTAGACACAAATTTTGGCTAAAGCTGCAGCATTGGAATTTGCACTAAACTCAGGTCATCTACAGGAGAAAAAAAAAAATCAATTCTATTTTGGCAAAGCCACATCAACATTGACAAACCAATACTCTTAGGCTAAGTAATGTGTAACAGTGTAGTGTAAACGTGTAACAGTGTAGTGTAAACGTGTAGAAAGTAAAACCATGTCAGAGTTGCGCTAAAGAGAAAATATACTTGTATTTACTAGAAGTTAATGCAAACCTCAGGGAGGCACAGTGCATCCAGAAAGTATTCACAGTGCTTAACTTTTGCCACATTTTGTTATGTTACAGCCCTATTCCAAAATGGATTAAATTCATTTTTTTCCCCTCAACATTCTACAAACAATACCCCATAATGACAATGTGAAAGAAGTTAGTTTTTGAAATCTTTGCAATTTATTAAAAATAAAAAATGAAAAAAAAAACCCATGTACGCAAGTATTCACAGCCTTTGCTCAATACTTTGTTGAAGCACTTTTAGCACCAATTACAGCCTAAAGTTGTTTTGAATATGATGCTACAAGCTTGGCACACCTATTTTTGGGCAATTTCTCCCATTCTTCTTTTTAGTATCTCTCAAGCTCCATCAGGTTGGATGGGGAGCGTTGGTGCACAGCCATTTTCAGTTCTCCAGAGATGTTCAAATCTGGGCTCTGGCTGGGCCACTCTAGGACAGTCAGAGATGGCCCGTAGTCACTCCTTTGTTATGTGGGCTGTGTGCTTGGGGTTGTTGTCCTGTTGAAAGATGAACTGTCGCCCCAGTCTAAGGTCCAGAATGCTCTGGAACAGGTTTTCATCAAGGATGTCTCTGTACATTGCTGCATTCACCTTTCCTTTGATCCTGACTAGTCTCCCAGTTCCTGCCTGTGCAAAACATCCCCACAGCATGATGCAGCCAGCACCATGTTTCACTGTAGGGATGGTATTGATCAGGTGGTGAGCGGTGCCTGGTTTCCTCCAGACATGACTTTTGTCATGCAGGCCAAAGTGTTCAATCTTTGTTTCACCAGACCAGAGAATTGCTTTCTCATGGTGTCAGAGTCCCTCAGGTGCCTTTTGGCAAACTCAAGGTGGGCTGCCATTTTGCCTTTTACTGAGGAGTGGCTTCCATCTGGCCATTCTACCATACAGGCCTGATTGGTGGAGTGCTGCAGAGATGGTGGTTCTTCTGGAAAGTTCTTCTCTCTCCACAGAGAAACGCTGGAGCTCTTTCAGAGTGACCATCGGGTGCTTGGTTATCTCCCTGGCTAAGGCCCTTCTCCCTCGATTGCTCATTTTGGCTGGGTGGCCCACTCTAGGAAGTTTCCTGGTGGTTCCAAACTTCTTCCATTTACGGATGATGGAGGCCACTGTGCTCATTGGGAACTTCAATGCTGCAGAATTTGTTTCTGTACCCTTCCTCAGATCTGTGCCTTGATACAATCCTGTCTTGGAGGTCTGTAGACAATTCCTTGGACTTCATGGCTTGGTTTGTGCTCTGACATGCACTGTTAACTGTGGGACCTTTATATATACAGGTGTATGCCTTTCCTAATGTCCAATCAACCAAATTTCCCACAGGTGGACTCCAATCAAGTTGTGGAAACATCTCAAGGATGATCAGTGGGAATAGGATGCACCAGAACTCCATTTTGGATGTCATGGCAAAGGCTGTGAATACTTATTTACATATGTTTTTTTTTTTTTTTTTAAATAAATTCCAAAGATTTCAAAACAAACTTGTTTCACGTTGTCATTATGGGGTATTGTTTGTAGAATGTTGAGGAAAAAAAAGTATTTAATCCATTTTGAAATAGGGCTGTAACATAATGTTGCAAAAGTTAAGCGCTGTGAAGAATACTTTCTCGATGCACTGTACACTGTAAAACCTGGAAGAGAATGTGTGCACCTAGTGTATTACCTGGGAGGTAGCTTTAGTGTTTTAAAAATGGATGTATACTCACAAACGACTTCAGCAACAAAAGTATATCAAAGTCCAAAGCAACCTGGTCACCAAGTCAGCTCCCAAACGCAAGATAACCCTCCAACTGTTGGAGTCCTCTCGTGTTTGGGAGCCGACTTGGTGACCAGGTCTCTTTGGACTTAGATGTATACTCACAAACAACTTCAGGAACAAAAAGCATATCAAAGTCCAAAGAGACCTGGTCACCAAGTCTGCTCCCAAACGCGAGAGGACTCCAACAGTTGGAGGGTTATCTTGCGTTTGGGAGCTGACTTGGTGACCAGGTTGCTTTGGACTTTGATATACTTTTGTTACTGAAGAAGTAACTAGAAGTAATAGATGTATACATCTATTTTGGAATCACTAAAGCTACCTCCCAGGTAATGCAGTAGGTTGGTGCGCCCTCTTTTCCTTGTTTTTACGGTTTCTCCTAGGTTTCCTTCACCAATGGCAGCAAATCCTGTGCTGGCCTTGGAATTGCTATGGGCCCGAGATCCATCTATCACCAGTACATCATTCTTGAGCGCAGGGGAGGAAAAAGAATTGGCCAAAGTATGTATAACCAACAAACACATGCTCTATATGTATCTTTTAGTCAGGAGTTACAGCCAGGAGATGGTTGGGTGAATCAGTTGTTGATATATCCTACCTATTTAATATTTCTACTGTTTGTTGTCTGAAGCACAAGTGTCTCCCTTTTGTCTCTTTGAAGGATTCAGAAGGCGACAGAATCCCTGAAAACGTTTCACCCAGCTGCAGATTCCTGCTTTGAAGATTATTTTGTTGATGTTTCCAAGGAAGAAAATATGCTAAGTGACTTGTCGTTTTCTAAAGGTACATTTAAATGAGTTGTTCTAGGACTAAATTTAGAAAAGCGATATATATTATAGTGGGGTAAATGACATATTGCATGTGATAGTTAAAGCAGAACTCTGGGAAAGCACAATATTGGGGTTTTAGCTTGGCACTAATGTACCTCCTAATGGGTTCCCACTTGTGGCTGCTACTTGGTTCCTGAAACTAATTCATGCATCCCTCACAGTGATGCAAGCAATGAATGTCTGAAGCCGAAACTGGAGAACAGCAATTGGCGGAACGGCTCACCCATTGATAAACATCTTATATTCTTTTCAGGGGATACAAGATGTTCTGTGATTGGACAAGGCTGGCATAAAGTCAGTCTCCCTTGGTTCAGTCAGAAACACCTTTATTATTTGAACAGCATACAGTATGTTTTATGAATGCAGGAACTGCAGCACGAGTGACTTGCTGTGATGACAGTGCTCCATCCCTGTCAGTTTCAATGCCGGACGTTCTGCATCTATTGCTGTTGAGGGCAAGACAAATCTAACTGCTTTCAGAAACAAAGCAGAAGCCACGAGTGGAGCACACATCATTAGAGGTTACGTTGATACCTAGCTAATGCCCCAGTATTTTGCTCGAAATCCAGTTTTTTTTGTTTTCAATTTTCTTTTCAAATTCTTTATTTAACGTGTACCAAGCATTTAGTAGGCGGCAAAAAGATCACAGCTAAGGAATAATACACCAACAGGGTGGAAGTAGTTTGGTATGTACATGACGAGATTTACGAGCATATCAACAGTAGTTCCACATCTTAACAGAAGCACAAAATGCTATTTCTGACAGTGGTTTGTCAGGTACTGATATAGAAGACAACATAGAATGTGTCTGTCCTGTATACAGTGGAGTTGGTTAGCCATAATTGGTAATCAAAGCCAAAGTAATGACATACCAACTTTTTTTTTTTTTCCTGCGTAACAGGAAAGCGTAGGGGAGTCCAGTGTGGGCAAATAAGGAGAGCGTAAAAAAAAAAAAAAAGGAGGGGGGGTTTAAGAATTGCTAGAAGAACAGGATGGCATTGTTTACAATTTTTTACTAATCGGGAGAGCCCTAGGGCCCCTTTTTTTTTTTTTTTTTTTTTTTTTTTTTTCCTTTTTTTTTTTTCACATTTACCATGCTAACTTTAACTGCCTTGTTAAAAGAAAACTGATTTACAGAGTGCAGTAGTTGAAACACAGATTATGCACTTAGCTGAATGAGTCAGTTTTATTTCCAGAGACATGTTCCAACACTGTGGGTTCACGCTACATTTTGTTTGTAGCGTTAAGAAGTTATGCATTTTTTTCAATATTTTCATTGCATATTACAGACCTATACCATATGTAGGTTGCAGAAGCAAACTGACATGTACATTGAACAAACGGTATTCATGACAATGCTTACTGCACAGCTCAAAGTAGGATAAAAGCAGTAATAAGGGAAGTTATCGTGGAGAGGGGAAAGTGGCGGGGAATCGCAATCTATGCTTTTGTTATAAATAAGATATTGTAATTGCGATGATCAAAGTTCCCAGACCCAGCGGATTTTAGGAATTGTGCCCTTGAGCTGGTCAGTTAATTTCCCAGTAAACATGACCCACTGCATCAGGGACTCAAGACATAAGTTTTTTAAAAACTTATAAAAGTGGCCCAAAAATTCTTAGTGTACTGCATCTTAGACAGGAAGTAAACAAAATCTCCAACAGCCTACTGACACCAAAAATAAAATGGACAGGAATATTACTCTTCCCTACTCTATTCAAAGCTAAAACCCTTCCTACCAGGCAGTACTTGGGCTTTTCCTGATTGGAATAGTCATTTCACACATGAGCCAATTCAGAGGCAGGAGAGGCTTCTGATACTTTCCAAGGCTGCTGTTGCTGTTGGCTAAGAACTGTGCTGTCAAAATGGCTCCCTGCTGTACCCTACAGGACATTGTCATTTTGACAGATGCTCCTAATTTGTCAGGAGTGACTTGACCCTGATGGCTGGACTTCCAGTTTGACAGCCAGTTTGAGTCCTGCTCTGTGGCTTAGGTGAGCTGACAGTGGCTCCGGTATGAATCAATGCTTCAAAAAAGTTGTGCTTTTCATTCATACATTGGTACTTATATGCAAAAGAAATATTGCCCAGATCTGGGGGATGGGTATAAGAATCCAAACCACTATGACGTCAAACGTCAGTTTTGTGATTCACTTGTGTTGATTAACATTTGAAGTAAACTTGTTTTAGTGTCTCCTAAATATTTAGTATTTTTTTATGGTTTCTTTACCGAATACTTGATCCACTTTTTTATGCTGTTTTTTTTTTTTTTTTCCCCTCCTCAGTGCTGGATATGCCTGAAATTGATGAAAAAGAAAGCAAGATCTATAACGGTGCTAAAATTTGCTGGAACCAGCCTAATGACTCGGGTCTTGCAGACAGTTATCTTCTTGAATACAGAAAGGTTGACAAAAACGAAGATCCAATGTGGAATGAAGTGGAAACAACCAGTACCAACAAAGTCCTTTCTGATCTGGATTTGAACAGTTCCTACTGCTTTAGAGTCCAGGGACTCAAAGGGTCTGTGTGTAGTCCTCGCAGCAAGGAGGTAATCCTAAGGACACCACCTGCACCAGGTAAACTAAGCTCTTGATAGATATAAAGCAGCACAGTGTTCTAAACCCTGCATTCACTATATCTGGTCTCCCACAGTACACACAACATGCAAATGCAATTATATTATTAATCTGCTAAACACCTTTTCTCATCTGCAGTCTTGTGCCTTCTATCAGTGTCCAGCTGAGCACTGGGTAAAGCTTGTAGGAGGAGTTATCATTCTGCTCTGACTATCCTATGAGGCTGTATAACCCCTGACCCTCTGGATAGTGTTGATTGACCCTGTGCTGATCACATGCACCCTCCCAAATAAAATAAAAAAAAAAAAACTCTCTAGCGATGCACACAAAACTGAGAATATGAAGAGCGACTCCTAGAGCTCTATACTATCAGCTGATAGATTGGGGACCGTGGAAGGGGAGGATCAGAGAAGACAGGATCAAACTGCGTTTTGACACATTGTGGAGGATTAACCCCTCAGGTTCCATAATAAGTATAACCAGCATGCTTTTCTGCATATACATACTGAATTTACTAATGTGGGTTTAGTAACACTTTAAATGCAGTTACGTCATATCAGCAGAATGAAAAAATATTTATCCAAATATTATGGCCCCATTCACATCACTGCTTTGCATTTACTTTGGTGAGGTGCAGCCATTAATTTTGAATGGCATCCCAACACAACTTAAAGGATAAGTTCACCTTTAAGAATAATTTTTTAGGGTGTAAAACTGTAACATGCACCCACTGCTGCAGCCGTTGCCCTCAGTCCAATCTCCCTGTGACAAAAGTACGAGGAGACCTTTCCCATACCAGCTGTCACGTTTATAAACCAGGGCAGAGCCCCGCACGGCCACATCATTCATTCAGATTTCTATGAATTAATCAACTACAAGTCCTGACTGCCTCTGTGGTTGTCTGTTTTAAAAATTCTCAAACTACCACGGCACAGTTGAGCACTGTGGTAGTTCATTGATTCTTTCCCATCACATTGTATCTGCTTGCCTGTACGAGGTACAAACACACATACATGGACTGGTTTGCAGGAGCCTTGCATTGTACCAGTGAATGGGCCCCAACAAAGCTTAAAGTGGCACTTAATGATATCCCCGTTCTTCAAAAATACTCCATACACATTACTTAATGGCCCTGTAATCTATATCCGTTTCTCTTTTTTTTTTTTTTTTTTTTCTTGTAACTTCCTTTTGTGAGCTCCCAAACATCTACTTCCCCCTTCTATTTATTTGGAACACGCACACTACAGATCCTTTTAGTCCTTATATTTTGGAATTCTATATGAAGGTTTTGGTCTGACTGGCTTTTTTTTCCTAATTCCACCTGGCTGTGAAAAGTTTAGTGTTTGTACAGCATTTTAGTAACTTTACTTTAAAAGCAAAAAAAGTCCCTTTTCATTCCTCACAGACCCTCCAAGGTTGGCTTCCCATATACCTGCGAGGTCTGTCAGTTCTTCAGACAAGCCTTCCTCTGCATGATGGCTTGCCCCACTGTCAGGAGCAGTGGGAACGTTTGTTAATCTGCAGACGTTTGGACAACTTGCATCTTAGTCGGGAGGTGTTGTCCCAGGGCTACAGATTGGTGTTTCCCTCCGTCGTGTGAACACCCCTCCCCAACCTCATTCTGTTGTGGTACAATTTATTCCAGTCTTTGCACAGACCAATTCAGTTGACACTAAGTTGTCCTGACTTGTTGGCTCAGGATTTTGGGTCTGGTATCAGAAGTCATTCCTTAGAGGACTCCAAGATCAATGCCAGCCTGTCAGGTTGGGGATGATTCCTGGGTGCCCTTTTGTTGCAGGAGATTTGGTTGTCATCAGATTATCTTGATCAACATCTTAGTGCTTAGAGCGATTTGGTGTTCTCTGCAGTGTTGGACTATTTTGCGCTTGGAAGGTGATCCAGTCAGGATTCAGTTAGACAACGTTAGACATAGGGGGGCAGAGGTATTGACACAGCAAGGGAGGTAAAGCAGGCCCTGTCTTGGGTAGAACTTCACATTACTGCTTTAACAGCCATGTAAATTTTGGGTGTAGACATGTAGCAGGTAGATTTCCTCAGCCGAGAATGTCTGGATGTGGGAGAGTGGTCCCTTCACCCTATGGTGTTCCAGGACCTGTCACAGGTGGAAAATGCTGGATGTTGACCACCTGGCATGCAGGTTCAACATCAAACTGGACTGGTTTGTCTCCAGGTATAGGAATCTACTAGCAGAAGCAGTGGGTGCTGTATATAGCTCTCTGTGATTAGTACATCCTGCTCTTTGCATTTTCTTGAGGGCCCATTCATGGTGTGGCGTGTGGAAAATCCATATTCTGTGTGCGTTTCCCGCACCACGTTCAAAACACACTGCCCATGTGATCTGCAGTGGCTGTCCATCAATGCTAATGACACCCCAAATGCAGGATGCAAATGCAGTGCATTTACCTGCACCAGATTGCATGGTACAGAAGTAGCATGTGATTCGGTTGCAGTGCATTTTTAAAGTAGTGCATGCACTGCTATTGGTGCAGTGTGATTTCAGCCCATTCAAATGAATGGGCTATAAATGCTCTGCTTTAAGTTCATACAGGAATGCGAGAGCGATCCTATGCGATGCCCAGTGTGAAACGTCTTCCTCATCTGCTTTCCAGGTTTGCGATAGAAGGCATTCCAGTGATCCTCAATATTCTGGACTGGCCCATGTGGATAAGGTACTCTGACCTGCTAAAATTCCAGTCAAGCACTGTGTGGGCACTGCCAGAATGTTAGGATCTTTTGTCCCAATTATTTGCCATCCTGCTTCACTGTTGCTAGCTTTAACAGCATGGCCCTTGAAGCCCAGATTCCAAGGGACAGGGGCATCTCTGGATGGGTGATTCTTTCAATGCTTAAAACCTAGAATTCTGCTTCTCGCAAGATCTATCATTGGACATGGAGGGCATCTTTCACTTGGTGCCAGCCTTCAGGGCTTCCATCCCAGGAGATTTTCTGTGGAGCAAGTCCCCTACTTCAGCTGGGTCTGGACTAGCATTTTGCCCTCAGCACATCAAAAGGGCCACATTTCTGCCGTTCATCTAGTTCTGGAGACCTGGGCTGGCCGTGTGTGTGTCCTTCTTTTTTTTTTTTTTTTTTTTTTTTTCTTCTTTTTTTTGTTTTTGGGGGGGGGGGGGGGGGGGGGGGTTCTTTATTTTTCCTCTCAATGACCCCCAAGAAAAGATTTTACAGTTAGTAAAAGAAAAAAAATCCCATTTCCCTTCTGTTACCTAAAGGTGTTTTTGTTTGAATGCTCATAATTAAAAGTTATAGAAGTATATTTTGGTAAATGGTAATTAAACAAAAGGCAATAAATCTAGAAAGTTATTCACACCCATATAAACCTTTGAATGTTGGTACATCTAATTTGTATGATGCTCTGTCTGTTAACAAGCACAAGTTTGTTGTTAACACATCTTAGCTGTGTCCTTATTCTGTACATGCTATAAAATGTAGGTGTTCTCTATCTTTTTATGTAGCTGTGCACCATCTCAGGGTCACAATTACAAAGCTTTATAGCACATTGTCTTGGATCTCATAATTGTTGTTTTTTTTTTTTTTGGTGTAGATCAGACTGTAGTGATCCCAGGTAATTACCAACATACGCTATGTAAATGACAGGGTGGATTTGGGAGAAAATTATTTGCTTGTCAAACAAATAAGATGCATGCTTGTAAGCTGGTTTTGACACGGCCTTCCTAAAACCAGGAAACTTGCTACAATTATACATAAAAAGAACACACTACTCATTTAAAGTTTATTATATTAACTGTGTATGTAAGGGAAATTATACTTGTGAATACTTTATATATGAGAGATTTTGTTTATATAGCTTTTGACTTACTGCCTTTTCCTGTGTCAGTTGCCATGTTGGGCAGAATGAAACCACAAAACGTTGTGGTTTCCCCCCCCCCAGTGAGATTACAAATTAACACATTTTTTGTAGAAAGTACCACCACCTCTATACTATCATTTTAAGTATGTGATTTCACTAAAAGCTTGTATATACAGTATTTGTACGTTAATGGTATGAGATTTTTTAAATTCTAAGCCAGTTTTCATACCAGCATTGCAGATAGTCCTTCATTTAACCACATCATTCCCACCTCCTGGACCCCACCCCTGTTCTGCTGTATCTCACTAAGCTTTCTACTGAGCAGTCACAGCTCCCCCTGCTGGATTCATCATAGGAATGTACTTGGCCTATTGATATTGGTAGAGCTCTTCATAGCTTACTTACAATTTTGGTAGAAAAGCACAGAGAAGCACATTACTAGGTATTTTGTTTTTTTGAGCAATTTGATCAATAGGTTTTAATGTCCATTTTATTTAGGTTCATATTTTCCATCATTTCTCATATTTTCTTGCAGTGTTTAGTTTCTTCTTTGATGATAAGTGTGGGTACAACAAAGAACATCTCCTACTAAATGACAGAAGGGACACCGTGGAAAGCATAGCTGGCCTTCCCCTGCTACTGGGAGCAGAGCGAGTACAAGTGGGCTGCTATATGTGCCTGGATTATATCATTGCTGATGTTGGCATCACTAAGGGGAAGTACTTCTGGGCCTTCTCTGTAGAGCCTTATTCATACATGGTCAAAGTTGGAGTTGCATCGGACATCAAATTGCAAGAATGGCTGCACAATCCTCGTGATATCAGCAGCCCAAGGTAGTGTATGCCAAGGCTTCCATTTCCATGAGCTTGCTTAAAATGTAACGGCTAGCTTTCTGCTTTGTAGTAATGTGATTAGGGTAGCTGTGAAATCTTACTTTAGTTAACCACTTCAATACTGGGCACTTTTACCCCCCTTCCTGCCCAGGCCAATTTTCAGCACACTCACACTTTGACAATTGCGCGGTCATGCAGCACTGTACCCAAACTAAAATTTTATCATTTTGTTCACAAAACTAGAGCTTTTTTTTTGGGTGGTATTTAATCACCACTAGGGTTTTTATTGCTACATTTCTTTCTATTTTCTTGGGTGAAATTACCCACATCGGTATTTATAATTTTGTCTGTAGGATAGTTAGAGTTCACAAACTATGGGATATATCTGAAAATTGACCAATCCTGAAGTAATGACAGGCAATCTAATTTCTTGAGGCCCAAAAATGTCAGAACAGTACAGATATCCCCCAAATGACCCTTTTTTACAAAGTAGACAGTCTGGTGTATTTCAGAAGAGGCATGGCGAGTTTTTTTTTTTTAATCGTTTTCGTAATTTTCACAATTTTTTTTTTTTTTTGCTTACATATTGTCACCAGTGCAGTACAGCATTGGCATATCACTGGTGTGGCAGTGATCAGGGACACTGACTGGTGACAGTACGAAAAAAAATGTTTTATTACATTTTCTCTATTTATTTATTTTTTTCTGCCATATTACACTGACCAAGGTAGTATACTGTTACCATAGTAACATTGTACTACTTTGGGGAAGTGATCAGTATTTATTTTTTTTACATAATTTGATTGCTTATAGCAAAACATTTCTTTGCTATAACCAAGCATTTAACTGAAATTGATTCATTCAGGTTTTTTTTTTTTTTTGTGATTGGCCATGGCTAAATCACATGACACAGATGGGCTGTGATTGGCCCAGCCTGTGCATGTGATCGTTGTGACCATTCACAGCTAGACACAGTTGTATACAATAGATGGCATGAAAGGAAGCCATCCATTGTATATAACTCATGTGACCTGCTTTGACCAATCACAGCAGGTCACATGGTACTGACAAGGGTACACAGATCTGTCATCGGCCATGTCTGAGGTACCTGACCGGTGATAGATCTCACCACAGCATGGCCCTGCGGGCACGGGCAATGCGTGATCCGGGAAGGATGTCATATTGCGAAATATTGTAGGAAGTTTTGTTTGAAAAATTAATACCATGTGATTTGAGTTTTCTGATTGTGTAGTCCAATTTCCAATGCTAACATATGCTTTTACAGGTATGATCAAGACAGTGGCCATGACAGTGGCAGTGAAGATGTTGCTTTTGATGCATCTCAACCATTTACTTTGGCAACTATAGGAATGAAGAAGTTTGTTATCCCAAAGGCCCTTAATGTTTCAACGGCTTATAATGAACGCACCATACCCCTTCCTAGCCGAATTGGGGTTTGCTTGGACTATGATAAAGGAAAAGTTGGCTTTTATGATGCAGACACCATGACATGCCTTTATGAGCGGGACGTTGACTGCATTGGAACAATGTATCCTGCTTTTGCCTTGATGGGAGGTGGAGTCATTCGTTTGGAGGAGGTCATCCCTGCAAAGCAACTGGACTATTCTCAAGAAATGTAGTGAATAAATGTCAGAAATTAACAGATGCTTTTTGTTTGTCCTTCATGTTTTGTTTGCACTGGTCTTTTTGAATGTCGTTCCACTGTTTTGACTACTGCCTGGTGAACAGTAGAATTTTGACCAGGTTTACTTGCTTGTCTAGGCTTTCAAAACAACCGACTTTAAAGGGCTATTGTATAACTTTTAGATTTACAGTGAAATGTCAGCTTGTTTTAATATTGGACATCACATTCATCTTTTGAATTATCATGAATATCCTTTTAACAGAAATCCTCATATATACAAGCGGTTTTTATTTGTAGTCAGTAAAATGTAGTTGTGCTGATTACTTCATCATACACCACATTAATTTAGTAGAATCGTGCAGGGTAATTGGTTTTAAAGCAAACCTAATGTCTCTGATTCATCCCTCCATGATAACCTAAGCCTTCATTTACTCTTGGACCACCACTCCAGGCTCTGTTGAGTTGTATGTGTGAGAATAGAAGTGTTGCTGCAAGATCATGTGACTATTGTCAAAAGACGTGTACACTGGCAGGTCTGTTGATTTCAGCCTGAGGTTCAGTTCCAGCATCTGCAGTTAGGCCAAGTCTGGATTGGTGGTGGGTTAAGTAGAAAAAAAAACTTAACCTATTACAAGTTAGAGCAGCATGGTGGGGATGGCTGGGTGTTGACGTGAAATAAATGCAAGATTTTAGGCCCTCTTTAAGCCTGTTCACTAAGAGTGTAAGGTGAAATAAACATGTATATTTATTTGTTTTTCACTTGTTCGTTCACCTTTTATTAATACTGTTCTCCCTCGAACACTGTCTTTGTTTTTTTTTGTGTGTTTTTTTTTAATGTTTTGTGATCAGCTTTTTAGCCTTATTAGCAGTAGTACAATATAACCAAAAACACTGGGCACAAAATTGATACACGATAGGAAATGTTACATGAATTAGGTTTACTTATTTTCAGAAAAACTATATGAATTGATGGGCGTTTTGGGATTGGGACAACAGAATGTAAAGGATGTTGTGGGAACCGTAAAAGATTTTATTTTGGGAATGAGTACCAAAGTGTCTCCTGGGCCTTCTATGGTGCCTCAATATCTTGGAATGGAAGCCCTGCCGCTAGCAACTAATCTACTTTTCAGGTCCTAGCATACTTTGAAAAATTACAAATGGGAATCTAGTTGTGGGCAACCCTTTTCCTTTTGTGGAGTAATTGGGACAGTAGTAACACTGCATTCCTGAAGTAAAATCTTATTTTCCTTTTTTACATGCTAGCTTAGATGTAGGCACAATTTCAAAAAATTACACTAAATATTTCATTCACACTACCTTACAAAACACATTTGTATGTGTTTTGTAGCACTGATTCACTCACATCACACTGCTTTTAGTGACATGTGTTTTCATATATAGTTTATGGGTACTTGTAATTTATAAATGGCTTTATTGCAATGTGGGCTGTGAAGGATGTAGGCACATGAAATGCAGTTTGTTCAGATAGTGTGATGTCTATACAGAACAGACTTGGCACATGGTATGACTTTTTATGCATTACAACTGAGGTAACCTCGCTGTGATCCTTGGTTATATGGCACTTTATAGCATAGACTGCTGCATACTATGCAACGTTATAATATTGTACAATTACGCTGCTAAACTGTAACTAATGGGTACTACTGTTATGAAATATACATTATGCAAATCTTGAATCTCCTAAGTCTTTTACTGTTGAGGCATTTCAAAGTAAAAATACTAAGTGTTGGTGTGTTTTTATTGTATAAAGTAATAAAATTTCATTTTATAAAGTGTATTTGTTTCTTAATTTCAGTACTTTTGTTTCATTCCATAAGGAATATTGAAATCAGCCATTAAAATTGCCAGTTTTTTTTAATGTGAACTCTTTGGCCAGCTATTTTGTGAAACCTACAATATCTGCCAATGCTGCTGGCTATTCTCATGTATATAGTCTGAGAACCGGATAACCAATGTCCCTTTACAGCTGGCTTAGAATGAGATTGATCATCCATGGAACCACCCATGTCAAATTGTATTTATTTATTTTTTTAACCATCTGTGTTGGGTGATATTTTTTTCTGTGTCTGGAGAGATCTCTGCAATTTAAAAATTTATTCTAAGAAAGGGGTCATCTAATACAAGTGACCCTATTAAGATTCCCGCGTGGCAATTAAAAATCTGATAGGGGTTCAAACCCTACCCCACTATATTCACAACAGGGAAGAAAACAAAATGGCTTTAGATTTTGAGTTCCTGTTTTTCATTCCTTGCAGCAAGTGTTTCAAAACTACATGTGAACAAGATTCTGGCAGTAAGTAATTTTGCTAAATGTTTAATTTTCTACATTAAATGTGAAAGTCCTCATTTGAATTTGGCTAAGAGCATTGGGAATGCGGTCAGATATGCAGCCTAAATCTAACAGACAAAAGATGCCCCCTTCCCTAGACTGTTTTTATTATGCACATTGAGGCAATCTTAAAGATCAAAAAGCAAATCCATTCCTATGGCATTATGTATACAATATATACCACTAATGTTTTAAATATAGTTTATTGAACGCAGTTTATCGCAATGTATATATGTATAAGCAAACCCTATCTGTTTACAAATATTTCAGATACCACATGGTTGGCAAGTTCATAAGACATTTCCTTCACAGATGTATTACAAATGGGTTAGCTATCCACATATATGTAATATATTTGTGAGAACAGAAGACCTGGTATACCATCCCTGTGTAAACCACAGTGAAGAGATATCCACACGGTTAGATTACAAAAATCTTTTAACATACCTGTTGTGACATGTACTGCTACAAATTATAAAAAGATGGTATGAGCCCAGGAATAACCAATATGACCATGAAAGGTTCAACATGAATCATGGTGTGCCTGCCACATTCTCATTTAGCTCTTACAAAAGTGGGAAAGCATGTTTCAATAAATATAAAGCCTATCATGAGCTTCCATCCAACCTGATTTAGGCCACCTATACGATTTTCAGACTTTAACAACCTCTTCCTTTGCCGGATGCAGGAAGGCTTAACCCTGTTACTGCTGCTTACAGGAGGGTTGGATACCAGCAGACAAAGACAAATTTGCCAATCCCTGTGTATAACCCTGTCAACTCCATCTAATTTGTTAGTGTCTTAGGTGAAAAAAATGTCTCTTATTCAGCTCTGTTGTACAGACTAACCTGGGTTTTGTTTCCTACCTCTCCCCTCCCATTTTGACTAAAACCTCTTTTCTATGGCCCCCGCTGATCAATATCAGTGACATGGTTGCTCTACGCCTGGCTTTTGGCCTATACCACATCTAGATCCACTTAACTGAAGGCTGCAGGTTCATACTAGGAATGACATTCAGGCACTGGGTTACATGTGCGCTTTCCAAGTTGTTTTGGTTATGTTGACTGCAGATCTCTTTCCAGGTCTACTGCACTTGCCCTCTCACTAAAGACTTGTTGCCCTTTCACACAGGGAAACCGATCAGGTCCGCCTGTCTGTTTTTCAGGTGGACATGATTGGACCATCCATTGTTCTCTATGGGGAGGCGAATATAAATGGACATGTCTGTACCCCCCTACATCTGATCCGATTTGCTAAAAACAGACGGATGGGAATCAGTCTGGCTGAAAAAAGACAGTCCATCCAGTTAAACCAAAAAAAGTTATAATTCTATACCCACAGTTGATCCAGAGGAAAGCAAAAAACTCAGCAAAGCATGATCTAATTTGCTCCTGCAGGGGAAAAAATCCTGCCCGATCTCCCGAGAGGCAATCGGATATTCCCTGGATCAACTTTATCTATAAATGTTAGTAACCAGTTACATTCTGTGTATCTAAGAGAATCCAGGCCTTTTTTAAAGCAATCCACTGAGCTGGCGAGAACCAACTCTTGAGGGAGTCTATTCCACATTTTCACAGCTCTTACTGTGAAGAAACCTTTCCGTATTTGGAGATTAAATTTCTTGTCCTCCAAATGTAAAGAGTGCCCCGCTTGTCCTCAGTGAACTCATGAACTCGGTATAGTTATTCACCTTGACGTCATCACAATGTGAACCACTGATTTATTTATACATGTTAATATCCCCTTTAAATTTATTCTCTTGAGAAGAGGAGATTAGTTTCTCTAATTTTTCCTCATAGTTGAGCTCCTCTATGCCTCTTACCAGTTTTTTTTTTTTTTTGCCCTTCTCTGCACTTTCTCTAGTTCCCCAATGTTCTTTGTGTGAAATGGTGCCCAAAATTGAACTGCATATTCCAGAGGAGGTTTTACTAATTTGTACAGGGGTAATATATCTCTGGAGTCTATACCTCTTTTAATACAATTGTTCCCCATCCATATAGTGCAAGGGTTTCAAATAGGTGGCCCTCCAGCTGTTGCGAAACTACAAGTCCCATCATTCCTCTGACTTTGGGAGTCATGCTTGTAAATGTCAGTCTTGCAATCCCTTACGGGACTTGTAGTTTGGCAAAAGCTGGAGGGCCACCAGTTTAACTCCCATGATCTATTGAATCAAATGGGATGATGGATGCAAACAAACAGGCAGTCCATTTATATCCAAGCACCCCATAGAGAATAGCAGGCTGTGTCTGTACAAGCATAGCAAATACCGAACTGTCATCTGCCTACTCAGTGGGGATTGGTGAACAAATCCCTGCTGAGCAGGTGTATCCAATTGGTGATGTCCACCCTTCTGAAATGGTGATTAGTAATTAGGTTGGCCATTCAGCGTGAACAAGACCTTAAAGTCCCAGTTAGGGGAATAGCATTCCCATTTTGTGAACAGCTGTCAGGATTCTGGTCAGCACTTCCTGTGCTACACTCCTATCCTTTTTGCATTGTTTATTGTTTACAGCTATCTCTGAGGATTACAGAAACCCTTACTTTTGTTAGGGAGAAGAGGGGAAGGTTTCTGTAATCCTGTCCTGGAACAATGCTGCTCCTCCATCACAGTACAGTGAGTGAGCATTGTCACCCTTAGACCGGTA